ACTTGCCTCGCCTGTTATCGGTTGTTTTGGTGTACTGTCATAATATTTATTTACCAGGAGTGTGCATTCTCATTGGGATGGAAGCTCGTGCCCACAAACTCCCAGAGAATAAAAATAACTTAAGGAAATAAAAAAACCTAACCTGCTACTGCTTTAAAAGCGGTTAGCGACCTAACGAAACGAAACCTAAACTTCATATCCACCCTTCAAAATAAAAAAAATTGGCCTTTAGCTATAAAGTTAATTAAAACTAAGGTAAGTTTTTGATCCATTCATTCAGATTAGCTAATACCATTATTTTATCAGTACCAAACGGCGAACTGCTTTGATGTGAAACTTTTTCGAAATAAACTCTTTGGACTAAAATAATTAGTAATAATAAATAACTAATACGAGATGACTATTTAGAGACAAGAAAATGTATCATCTCTTATTAGTTGATCTTCTACATAAAGTTTCACTTCAATCGTATGTCATATGACACACTCTGCTGTTTTTTGAATAAAAAAAAAACGTTGGCACCCCATAAGTTTTTTAATTACTTGATTTATAAAAATATCAACCAAGTATGTAACGGGTAAGGGTATTGTATGTGGTCTATATTCAAGGAGTTTTTATAGGCAATATTAATTAAGAAAACAAAAGGTTTTTAATAAATTTCGACCATTTCAATTAATTTACCGGTTAATTTATGTAAGCTTCGAGGTATTATTTTAAATAAATTATTAAATATCCGTTTCCTACATAACTTATTAATTTTGTCGAAGAACTCGGTCTTTATATCTTTACAAAATTAAAATCGAACCATCCTAAGTAATCAAAATTTTGTCTGGCTTTTTTTGCCTAAAACGTAAAAAATCATACGGCGTGCAATCCCCTTAACAAACCCTGGCTTTCTCTTTATGATTTGTAGGTCTGTCATCGAATGCGCATTCAGCGATTCAAAACTGCTTCCGGGTGACCAGATTTTTCGAATAAACTACAGAGACGTCCAAAACACGGTGTTGGATTATGTCATTCAGCTGTTCAGATCTTGCACGGACACACCATCCCGTTACCGCGCATATCTTGGCCGTTTGTCAACCACCGTTGGATAACGTGAGATGTTGTTTGATTTTATCCCGGATAGAACAACTGTATAACGAAATGTGTTTATTATTTCACAGTAATACTTAACAACAAATAATAAACCGGATTTACGCATCATTTTTAATTTGTAAATAAAGAGAATTATTTAATTAGGGCGAGTTATGAACATTTTCGATTATTCAAATTTGATTGTGTAAAAATATTCGGTTGTGCTAACCTGTTTACTATGTACAATATAGAAATTAGACACCTCGTTTGTTTCTCAAACGTTATTCATGAAAAATTGTTTAATATTGTTAAAACAGTTTTTAATATTTATCTTTTATCTTGAAACTTAATTAGCAATATAAAACATTCCATTATATTTAAATGATTCTTGATTAAGACGAACCAAATAAAATAGGCTTAATAAAATTAATCTTAGTAATAAACAAAATTGTACCCAACCGTATTTGGGGGGTCTGAAATAATTGCTGCTTACAATGGCGGTTCTTACGGATTGAATGAGAATTATCCAGGAGAATAAGTTCTGACAAATTATCATTTCAGAACGAATCATTTAAAACAAACCGAAAACGATTTGACAAGACCTTGGTTTCATACGAATGATATGTATGTACCAACAAAATTTAAATAATACTTGAATTTTAAATAGTAACATAAAATGTTCTTATAAGTATAAATAATAAAATGAAATAAAGAAGTATTAGTTTTATTTATTATTAAAGTAGTATCAAACATTGTCTTACAAACTCGATGGTTGATTTTTCTGTCGAGATATGACTACTGTCAACTTTTAAAAAATATCATTAGATCCAATTAAGAATGTGCAGTTGTCCAAACCGCAGTGTGGTCATTGCGAAGAATTCATTCCGATCGCGGAAAAATAAATGAACATTTTTCTAAAAAAAGTGATGTCATAATCGCCAATATGGCCACACCGGATGAGCTAGAACACAGTATTAGTTCCAGTTTTCAGTATCTTTTCCTACCCTTATGTTCTATCCAAAAAAAAAATTATAAAAATATAAACTTTGTTTATTCATTTTTACACAAAAATGTCAAAAAGAATCTACATCAATAATGCCCGGTTAATGTACTTCTTTAATCACTACCATCTATGTTATTTTAAATTGTATTGTAAAACAATAATTTTTATTTTATAAATTATTCTAAGCGATTTTTTTAACTATTGCAATTATTTATAATAAATTAATTTATGCAAATTTTTTTCATTTATAAAATCTTTATTTATCAAATACAAGATGCCATTCTATAGGGCTTTGGAGGAAAAAGATTATAAAAATAATAGAAGTCAATTTCAAAGAGAACGGTTAGGAACAACATAATAATTCCTAGGAACTTTTAAAAAAACTGTAGAAACTGTACTGAACTTAAATGGGAGACAAATGTCCGACATTGATGATATGTATGTACAAATAAAATTTAAATAATACTTGAATTTTATGTAATAATTGCACTTTGACCGTATTAAATTTACAGGTTGTTACGCCAGAATCAGCTAATAAATAACAAGTATCTGAAAGGCAACAAATTACTATCGACAGACGATCAAGTCTAATCCCAACTAACCGTATCCACCACCTAATACTAACAAAATACAATTTTTTAACAAATGTTTGTACTCCATTAACCCTACAGATTCTCGTCGAAGCGTTTATAAGAAAACGACTTTTCCACTTTTAGTTATAAACAATTTCCAGAGACCCTCTTGACTGTGCTGGCTGTTTATTTAAATCAAATATTTTTCATCTAACCAGCTATGCTATTTGTATTACCCGTACCTGTGTGTAATGTCGGCCGTTTGTTGTTTGTAACGCCGCCGTTTCGAGTAAACGACTGTTGACTATCGCATTATAATAATTGTGTGGGAAAATATTATTAGACGAGAACACTACACGACAGTTTTATAATTATTTATTAAACTAATATCGGTGTAGGTAAACACTGAAATCTGTTCAAGCGATAACGTTTAAATCGAATGTTACACGACTCGTTTGACCGACGAGGAAGGGAAAATAATCATCAGAAAGGTATTTTATAAAATAACCAATAATTTTTTTTCGCGGCGCTGTTCGTTTCGCGTTTTACCCACAAGATTAAAATATATAATAATCGAACGGTCCTGTAGAAATATATACATCATTATAATATAATTAACGATAATATCAAAAATAATATATTATTATTATTATTATTAATATACCTATAAGCGGTGCAGTTAAACGATACGTTTTCGGTCGGTTTCCGTAGGTACGGGTGGGTGACTTGCGGTAGCTGCGCAGACGTGACATATGATAATGTTATTAATATTTTAAACAAAAAAATGATGTACATTTAACCATATAATTATATATGAATATAAGCATGATCAAATATATTATAAGCCGTTCCGAACGGAAAACCGTCGATCCGTTCATAACTGGTGTTGAAGTCTCCGGCGAGCGGCAATTCTTTTATCGAAACGCTCGTTTGTTCGTGCCGACTACCGATCGGGCAGTTTAGTAAAAAAAAAAAAAATAAATATACAAAATTATAATAAAAAGAAAACGACAACGACGTCAAATCGGTTAGGTTATTCATATTATATTTTATAAACAAAACGCACTTAATAGGATGAGAACCGAAAGAAGAGGGAAAAAATTCAAATCGTGTACTGAACGGTTACAAATTATGCAAATATCGCAGTCCTAAAACATTTTTCTTCTTATTAATAAATAGCTATTTTATTCGATTGAGGTAATACTGAAAAAAATTGTTTAGTTTTTTCCAACTATCATCAAGTTAGGTATTTGTTGAAAGGTCACACATACACACTGGTGGTACTTGATCAACACGATTTTATGGTAAATTATTTATCTTGTCTATGTACGCGACTCGTAGTTCAACATCTTTGTATACAATTTATAACATGTTTAAACGTAGGCACCCGTATCTATGATGAAATAGATACCACCTTCCACAGCACCTGATTATTTGTGAGCATATTTTAATACAGCTCTACTAAATGACCGTTTACAGTCGAAACCTTAATACTAATGAAAAAATAATAAATAAATGGATGTACTTGTGTGTTGTGTATATTAACGTTTTGGGGTAAGCGACCAGCATGTCCGGTTTCATCCCCTCTATTCGGCGGGGCACGTCCAAAACAAACATGGTCGACGGACAGACGTTTAGAGGTCCTCCGGGGGCCGCCAAAAAAGGGCGGGGTGCGCGAAAAATAAGGGAGGATAGTTGAGGCTAATACAAAGGGGAAAAAAACAACAACAATCCCCGTCGTCCCTAAACCATATGATATAACTTACAAGTTGTAACGTTTTACGCGCGTTTCTACTTTCTTACAGGAAAAATACTGTGAAACTTTATAAAAATTATCATGGCGATGAAAGTTTGTCGCGCGTGCATATTATGTATAAATAATAATTACAAACACGCTCGAGTGTTTCACCGGTCGCTGCTATACACACACAGGGAGGACGGTGGAAGCAACCGGTTTCGGGATACGGCAACAAGTTAATAGAAAATTTCCACTTAATTAACCCGGTAGCGCGTACACGGTAGTCGTACACAGAGCGGCGGTTACCGCCTACCTAACCGGGCGCGCACACACACAATGCCAACCACAATGCTACCCTTGATCGAAACGCAGCACACCCCCTGGCCGTCTTTTTTTCGAGTGTGTGCGTGTAGCGAAAACACTACTCTTAGTCCGCCGTACCGCAGCATTTAGTTCATTGTAAACCTCGCATAATGCCCGGGATTTTCTTCGACCGAATAACATACATTATTATTAAATCATATGTTGTTGTTGTTATAGTACTATAATATTCACCGGGGAACCCGTCGTCGTCTCGGTTCGTCCGTCAGTAGCCGTTTGGGCGGTGTCCGTTCAACATCATCATCGAAACACTTAAGCGACCACGCGAACATTTTACCGGCGTTAACGCACAAACCGGACCGCCGAAAGGACCGCGCGCCACCGCCGGTGAGTAGCCCGTTTAGATTTTAGCAGCTTTATATAGTTTAAGTGGCAATTTTTTCCCCAAAAACAAATTTTCGACACGGTATTCCGCCGACTGCCTATAGAGTTTTACATCAAGCAGCCCGACACAGCAGCAGTTCAAATACAGGTCGATTCGTTTTGCGTAAGACACAAGATATCTCAAATTATAATACATTTTGTAGTTTTTCATTTTTAAAAAAGCTCAATATTCGTTATTTTACAATATCTTGAAAATGACCCGGTATTTACTATTTACTTGTTTTCAAATTTTCGAGAGCGGTTTTAATTTTGTAAACAAAAATACCATAGACGGAAAATAGGCTCGCCGAGATGCTGGACGAAACCCGGTAGGATCTTTGTTTGGTAAGCACTTTTCGAGGCTGACTTTTCCTATGTACAATACAGTGTTCGCTATTGAACACATACAAAAAAAAAAAAACATACTTTTGGCACTTTTTATACATTTTCCTGAAAACGAAACTTTAGCCTATCTGCTTCTGATGGTACTAATCAGTTTAATTATACTTACCTCAATCATTTTATAGTAAACAACGCTTTCTCAGGTTTCCTTATGTCGAAAAGCAGCGAACTACCCGTCGTCGTGCATTCTTGCATTTTTAATAATCATCCTTCCTATACATTGTTGATATTAATAGGAAGTGGGATTTATACGTTTACCAGAAACAAACACCAAACCGGTAAAAAATAGTGATATTAATATTTCAAAATTTAATTGATGGGAAAAATGAACAATGTACGATTTAATATTTCCTTTAGAGTTGATACGGCGCTAAGCGCGTTTCATACAGAATCCATAAAAATTAAAAAATTTCCTCATATTTTATGCAAAATTTACTTTTGAAGTTGTATTTCCCTGCCGTTTTTTTTAGCCAGTGAATTAAAAATAATATAATATGATTGTTACATTAGTTATTACAATAAATAGATAATAAAAAATACCTAGGAAGATTTAAATATTATACAAAAAAAAACAAGGTGCCTATTTAATTAACTTTTTAAAAGTAGAACGGTTTGATAAATATTTTGTCTGTTTCATAACTAGTTTTGAGTAATTACTTTTAAAATGATTGAAGTTTAATATTTAGGACGTGAGGTGTAATGCGGATGAGCAATGGATGTAGATAAAAATATTACTTCACATCAACTTTCCCTCCGTCATACATTTTAAGCTTTATCCACCTTAACAATAATTATTCAAAACTGGTTATCAAATTTTCTGTTAACCATTCTTATTCTCAATTTAATAATTTAATATATACAATTCTTTTTAAAGTTTTAAAACTTCATTGCACTTGAAAAAATACTGAAAAAGATAATTAAATAATTGGTAATTTTTACAATATTACATCGATAAAAATGTTTTCAAAAAATAAACACATTTAAACAAGTACACATTTTGGGGTATTTTTGATACCGTTCAAGTTAAATCTTATAATCATCTTTACGGATATAAGGAATTTAATTGGTATACTATGTGCGAATCTAATTTTATAACATTCAGGAAATATCATAGAAACATTTTTGTCGATACTTAATTTTCTGTCAAACGATGATTAAATGATTACAATATCAAAATATTTCATTGCTAAGCGAGATGTTTTCTTAATGTTGTTTTTTTCTATAGGCTGATGGAAAATAGTTATTAAAGGGTTTATCAAAGGGAAACTAAACGCGTGGAAGAATAAATCATCCACAGGAATAACGATAGAATAATTCATTCTCTTTTTTTATTGATTTTAAATTAACAACTTCGGCTGCTGGGGCTATTAGTTCATTGGGTTAGAACGTGTCTCAATCTAAAATCCTCTTCACATGTCTCGCAAATGGGAGGATCAGTTAGATAATAGATAGCAATATTGTTACAATTAATTATAAGCCGGCGTTCTGTAAAAAAAACACAATGATAGCATTATTATTTGGAAACCGACCTATAAGTTGTGTTGTTATAGACGATACCATTGCACATTATTTTTACCGAAAAACAATTCATTTAATTGAAATAAAAAAACGCTTTTTATTTTCCATTATCCTAACCGGATTCCCACTTCATTTTTTTTTTGTCATTATTTGAAACTACACGCCAATTCAACTAACATTTAATCATATTTTAAATTCATAAGAGGCAATTGTGCTCTAACCTAACCTAACCTTTAGATATATTATAATAGTCAGTCTCACAATTTTGTCACAGCATTTTTGACCACTAAAATTGCTTTTACTCATAGAAAAAATATTTATATTAAAAATCATTCCCTGAAGCTTATACAAATTAACTTGTAATTAAAGTTACATGACCAAAACCTAACCAATTTTTCTTTAATGTTGCCTACATAAATCAACTTGAGAACCGCTAGTTTTCAATCCCCTTGACAAAAAATTATCGGTAAGCTAATTTAAAATGTATTTCAAATAATTAGGACTTATAATCTATTTTTTAGGCCTTTGGGACTTTCGACCATTATTTCCTTTAGGAACTGACTGGTTTTTTCCACAAGAGTTGGGTACTCTTGTTGTATATGTAGACAGTAATCTTTTAACCTTCATTATAAACATTATGTTAAACCTATCTTCAGATTAATTTTCACCTCTTAAATCCTATAACTGCATTTAAAAAATAAAACAATCAGCTTCCAATCTCCCCAGGGGTTTGGAAGTTTTGAGGATTTAGGTTTCAGGGCATGTATTGGATTTTGCAATATTTCTATTTTTTTAAGAGACAAATTATTTGGGTCAATAAAAAATATGTGTCTTAAGATCTCTTAGCGTTAATTCACCTATCTGAGATACAAAATCCAGCTAGACATTTAAATTCCAAATAATATTTTTAGAAAATAGCCTACGCTTTTCGATCCTGTGAGTTTAATTTTTTTTATGTATTAAGTGCATATACAATTTTCTCGGCGGTTAATATGTTCATAAGCGATATTTCAAGAGCAACCATAGCGTAATAATAATTCAATATACTAGGTCGACATTTCGGTGCCGTATGCGAGAAACAACATAATATAATTTACACTAGGTACTCGATGTATGTGTTAACCGACATCCGAGACACGAACGCGATGAAAAAAAAAAAAAATTGAACAAACAAAATACTACTTACACTAGGCCTATTCGCCGGGCGCATATGTTATTCGAAGAAGAAATGTAACAGTTATATTTTTTGTTCACAATTTTGCCCTATTCCGCGTTTAGACAACAGACGCAGCCGAGTCTCGTCACGCGGTAAGAGTGAAAACACTTGTTTTTTTTTTTTTTTTATTTGTTTTTGTAGCATGTATGACTCGAAAACTGATTTCACACGATAAAATATTTCCTCATGTATAATATATAATATACATGTTTGCCGCGTAACTATTTTCTCGCTTGAGCCGTTCTTTATTTGCAAAACGACGACATGTAAAAAAAAAAAAAAAAATATCAATATTATTTAACACATACTTAGAGCATTGATATTTTTTCTCATAACCGAAACAACGATTCCGAAGGCAGAATAATCGTTTTATTGGTACGTTATTTGACGGTTTAACACGATTCCGGCACATGAGCCGCGTGTGCCCCGCCGCCGCATGTTTACACTGTTTTTCGTGAACGTCAGATATTAAAAAATGTATGATAAACGCCAGCCAGTACCGGTGCGCAAACAGTGTAAGATAATATTATTATACCGGGGGAATCGTCGCCAACCGCGTTTTATCGACGCGACATTATTAATATTATATAATTATTATTATTGTAATTTTGTTGTCGTTTTTTTTTTCCCCCAACGAATTTACAATATTTCTCCGCTATCGTTTTTTGCGAATTTTCACAACAAAAAAAAATTCAATTCAACAGGTTTTCCGCGCCTACGCCGCCGACAATGTCTGCCGTCCAACAGTCGGCGAGCCACGCCAACGACGGTTCGAAAGTGCAACGCGGCGGCGACGACAATCAACGGCGAAGACCGGTGTTCCAATTCAGCGTCGATTACATTTTGAATAAAGCCGGGAACGCCGCCGAAACCGATGCCGCCGAACAGCAGCACCACTCGCACCGTTACGACTGGCTGTTGTGCACCAGATTCAAACCGCCCAAGCTCGACAGTGAGTACCTCTCTCTCTGCCTACTTAGCTTCATCGGGGTTGCGCCGAGGGCTTGTTATAACAAATAACGCGTTTTAAGATTTGATTCGTCGAGAATTCATTTTGTCAACAAAACAAAAATTGCAATTTTGTATAGTTTTCTTTTTCGACGACTTTGGCTGTGTTTAAGCCGTTTTACACAATGTTCAATTTTTTGTAATTTTCGTTTATCATCTCCCGGAGCGCTTGTCAATTTTCCAAATTTCAATCGCGAAACGTATACATTTAATCATTTTTTTAACATTTTCACTGATCAATACAATCAGTTTTGAACGGTTAGGTAGCGCAGTGCGGTACAGAAATGCGCGCAAATAAAAATAATAGGTACTACAATTCGCCCGTCGTCCAGCTCTAAATTTTAAACTCTAATAACTTTAAAAGTGATTGTTCAAAAGTGGTCAAAGACAAGTTATTCTTTATTTAAAAAGTTAATACAATTTTATGAGTTTCAAAAACAGATAGATCTAGCTCTGAAAAATACTAAAAAAAAAGGAAATATTTAGTAACTTTATAATATAGTAAAATAACATAAACAAAAATTTTTTTAAATAGAAACACAAAGTTAAAATTATTCAGAAATTGTTGTACCTCATAAATACTTTATTTGGCCAAAAATTAAAAATATTCAACCTTTCTCCTTCAAAAATCAAAAAACTTTTTTTTAAAAAAAATAGTCTAATTAGTACCAAATTTTTATTGAAAAATAAAGGAGAACATTATTTATTATATTCTGAAGCGGGGCTGTGTTTTGTTAGATAAAATACTTTTTATAAATTATTGAAGTTTTTTCAATATTCTATTATAAAATAAAATCTTTATTATATTAATTTTAATTAATAAAAAAAGTAATAAAATATACATTCGAGGTATGGTTTTTAAAGATAACTTATAAAAGTCAAATAGCAACCTATATATTTAAATACCGGAAGACGAATTGTGTATTAGACCTACATATTATAATTATGTTTCCCTAAATGAAATGTAATGAAAATAATAACAGGTATTATTTATTTTTTCTACGATTTTGGTCAGAAATCCGTTTCTGGCCAGCAGATATTGTATACGGTTTCACTGAGAACCCATAACTGTTTTTTGAACTTTTTCAATTTGGTCTATTTTCAGTTGAATAATAATTTTTTTTAGTGTTTTAAAAATCTATAACCGTCGTCACTGCTGTTACAGGAACGAAAAAGAAAGACGGACAGCAAAAGCAGAAACGTAGGCCAGGCCGCAATCCAAGGATACCTTTTACCACGGACCAAGTGGCCACTTTGGAACGCGAATTTCGACAAAACGCTTACTTGGGAGGCGCCAACGACGTACAGAGGCTGTCCGAGCGATTGCGACTATCAGAAAGTAGAGTGAGTAATCCAATGGTCATTTGTTTTTGCTAAATATTTGAACCAACATGGGCCGTGGGAAGGATAAGAGAGGGGAGATAGTCTTCCCTAGTTAGATAGTTTTCCTTAAAGGAAAAGACAACGGGAATATTTTCCTACAAAATTGCTATTTTTCTAAAACATTGAAACCGTTCCAGATGGGAGAAAACATAACCTAATTTGAGCAATGAATTAAGAAATTCAAAAATACCAACAGTTTCGGCAACGAACCATAATGTTGATATAAACTAACATTGTCACAAAACCAAATTAAAGCTAAGAGATCTATGCACGTTATAAAACCACTAGTAATGTCAGATCTTAAATCCGTGAGTCTAGTTGCAAACATTAAAATATATGTTTAATGTTAAATGAACGTCCATTTCTACGTTCCTTAGCCAAATGTTGCATAGTGATATCCAAAATAAACATTTAAATGTATGTAGAAAAATCATCAATAAGAAAATAAATTGATTTCAGTTAAATATAACTCTATTGATTAGTAACGTAAAGTAGTAACAAACTATAGAATTTAATTTATAAACATTAAGTGGTTCGAGTCATGGCTCAAAACTCAATTTAAATACTTCTTATTATCTTAAAACGATATAGTCAATATTTTGTCAATCCGACTATTATTAATTTTGCCTAATTTTTTTTTTACATGTTCTTAAGAATTTATCCGTCAAATGTCTAAATTAATGTCTTAATTAATAGCGACAATTTATATCAGGTCGAATTAGCGAGAATTATATAATTTTACAAGAAAACCAAATAAAAATTATATTTTCTATTATAATTTTTTATAGGTCGTTTTTGTTAGGTTATTTCATTTTTATACAATTGTTGAAAAAATATAAAACAAACAGCAAAAAATAAGTTGCTATTGACAAATAGGCATGTAAATGTAAATGTTCCTAAATAATGGCAAATGGGAGCATATGAACAATCGCTACACACACAACAACTATAGCATCAGTTTTTAGTATGTCAATGAGACAATAATAGTAATATTCACTCTAAAATATGAATTTATCATATTGTATTGTATAATTTATTTTCTAATATTTTTAAAATAAAAAAACACATTATAAATAATACATCAACTATTTGTACATTAATCACAACTAAATCAGTGTTTATTAAACCAAGTGTTTATTTATTTAATAATATTATGGTTCGCACAATATCCATATCATAGCATAAGTGCAATCTGTTTGTACTCAGCTAGAATCATAACTACTACCAAAATAATATTATATACCTGAAAGATAGCACCGACTATTATTTTATAATTCTCGAAATATTAAAGTATATAAGTTGCTTTTAAAAGTCCAAATCTAGATAAAAGTAGAATAGTAAACCTAAACAATATTAAAATCACATAATAATGATGCTTATATGACTAATTTATAGAGTATTTAAAAGTCAAAATAAATTATTTGTCAAAAATAAAACAATGGATTTTAGTATCAAGCAAAGTTGAATTTAAGTATCAAGTATTTAATAGGTATTAATATCGTGTTTAACATCGATTGCGACAGACCAGGCAAAGTGGTGATACATTTGTTTTGTTTAAATGTGTAAATTCTAAACAATTTTGTTATTAAAAAAATATGAAAACGGTTACTTTAATACTTTAGAAAAGTATGTCAATGCTATTTAAAAACATATAACTTTTATTGAAGGCTCTATTAAAGGGTTACACATAGTTATTACATATTATATTTTAACAGCTTGTGTACGAGTCCGCAACAACCGGGATACATTTGTATGTATCTAAGGTGGCTAGTAAACATATCAAGTTTCTGGCTAATATTTTAGTGTTTTCATAATATCTGGCCCAAAACAATTCATAGAGAATTTGGTCCCTTAAATTATTGAATTTATTATTCATTTCTATTTTGAACGTTGTGAATACAACATACATGCTCCCATCCCCAACCCTCATCTCTTATCCCCTATCTCCTTCCTTTATCTCTTATCTCTCTTATCAGATAAATCGTCTGTTATTTTTCGTTATGATAACCGGTGTCGGTGTCGATTTTTCCGGTTGTGTTCCATACATAGATATATATACTAAACTAGATTGCTAACTGTACATGCCACCAATAGAGAAGATTGAAGCAGCCACTTTCCACCATCTTGGTGGGAATTAGAACCTTATCACGCGATATATGTTACGAATAATATATGTTTATAACAATCACTTATATATATAATATTGATATAATAATATATACAGATATATATTATATGCATTGATAACACACATAAATTCACCAGAATGCGGACCGTCGGCTTCAATTTTATCGCTAGCTAGCAATCTAGTTTATTATATATATGTGTGGTTCCAAAGTAAAACCATATCTCTTATCGCTTTCTCTTATCTCTTATCTCGCTCATCTTATCAGATAAAACAGCTGATTTTTTCGTTATGATAAGCGGTGTCGATTTTTCCGTTTATGTGCCAAAGCAAAGACACAAAAATGTCAAAAGTCATATGCCATATTGTTATTTTATCTACACAGTTAATTGGATGCAACAGTATGTTTTGAGAAATTTTATTTATACCTATCATATATTTTTTTTATCAGTCGAATTTTACAGATTGAAAAATTTTCTATTGTCAATTTTAAGTATAGCCGAGTTGGTAAAATTAAATAATATAAAGAACATATTTACATGTCTATTTGAAAAAAACCTAACGACCGACTGAAAGTTAAGATAGGCCAAACAATTTAACTCAATAGCAATGCCATTAATAATAATTTCAATAATTATGCGTATTTATTGTATTCGAGAATTAAAATTGTATTCTCTAAATATCATCTAAATCTCAATGTGTCTGACCGATTTTTGATAAACTCAAAGATGTCCTTATGTTTATTCTGTGGATTGATAATTTATCGTTTTTTTAACGGTTTACAGATAAAGATATGGTTCCAAAACCGTCGTGCTCGGGAACGCCGGGATCATCACAATGGACACACCACAACACCGGCCACGACAAACGATAACGCCCATTGTCAATTCCTTCAAACGTCTACCACATCTGCGTTTAGACCCTTGAGCCGTTTAACGTGAAACGACTTTTGTAAAAAAAAATAATAATTGTTCAAAACTGTGAATACCAAAAAAAAAACTTTTTTTCCAATGTTAAGTGTTGAACTTGTGTGTGTTGTGTAAATAATAATTTTTAAATCTTATTTATAAATAAAAAAAAAAAACATGTAATTTTTTTTTAATGTACACAATTTTTGTTCCGATTTTTATTGATAGGTTTCTTCGGTCGAAACGATATTGTCTAGTAAACCTGTTTACCGGACATTCCTTCGATTTAAAGCTGTACTTTTTAAAATTTGATAATTTTCCCGTTAATACACAATTGGTAAAACCGATTTTATACATAAACGTTTTCACACAGCAGCCGCTTTTAACTGTCTCTTGCGCACGTTAAACGCCATGATGATCCACACAAAGTTCATCACTGCAAAAATCGTTTGTCCGGTTAGGTTAGGTTATACTAGACTTGGTCACTTGAACAGATTTGTATGAAGTGGCATGGATTGTGAGAGAGAAGAGTGCCTGAGTGAGTAGAGATAATAAAGGAGGAGAGAGGAGCTTGATAGAGGCATGTGCTTACATTGGTAGAGTAACCAATTTAAGTACGTTGTGATCAAACCGTGGAAAAGTACAAACTTCATATCCATGGTGTTGAACTTAACCTAACGTGCCAGAAAGGTGCGGCTGGTCTGGGGTAGGTAATAAAGGAAGCGTATAAATGTAAGTAGAAGAAATTGTTTAAGACGGGGTCTGGCAGAATGGTGTATTTCCAAACAGGTCTTACCCTCAGCTAGTTAGTAATATTATACAACAATCGATAGTGAACAATATTTTTAAATGATACAATTTTCAAATTCTTTATAAAAAAACCAGTACAGTGGGGTCGGGCCATAGTGGGGACGGGGAGGTCACAGGTTTATAGGAATTTTTAAATCTGAAAGTGATAAAATCACTTTCGAAAAAACGCTTCGATGCAAATCGGTAGTTAGTATTTTCAAGGCAGTACAATCTAAACCAAGCACAGTGTAAGCTAGCGAAGTTAGAAAGTATTAAATTGAATCGGCCATTTCAAAAACGACTTAGGTCACCGATTTTTCAAAACTGTCTTTTTATCAAATGTAATAATTATATACTTAGCTACGTATTCTGTGTGAAAACTCAATTTGTCAGACTCATATTTAATACAAATGTTGAGTACAAGAAATTTGAATCACTGCAAAATATATTTATGAAGTTTCTTGTGGCTAGTGTAATATTTCAAATTTGTGACTTGTGTCGTTTTTTAAATGACCGATAAAATTACAAAATAGAAGCATCAAAGCGTTTATTTGAAAGCGATTTTATTCAATTTTGTCACTTTTATTTATAATAATTCTTGTAGACCTGTGACCTCTCCGTTTCCTCATTGCTTTGATTACATTATGCCAATACTCTACTGTACTAGGTCTCTCGGATAAAATCACTTAAAAACCCCGAAAAACAAAAAAACTTGTACCCCCCCTAGGGGGGCGGGAAATGGGTATATTTTGTATTTGACAAAACTGACGTGCGCGGGCATACCAAATAAATATTTCTTATACATTTCAACTCGATCCGACTTTTTTTCTCGATACTATAGCCAGTAAAAGTTTTAACTTAAAAACTCGTACGGTTTTTTTTTTGTTTTTCCAACTTTCGTCTGTGAAGACTTAAACTTTTTCAACTTTTACCCCCCCCCCCCCCCCCAAAGTACAAACTAGACAAAATTTGTGATTTATAGAGTTGCTATTCGAAGGAATTGGTCTAGTGTTAAAAAAGTTACAGTGTATACAGCGAAAAAAAAAGCCCACATCAGAGTAAAACCAATACCTTCTCGCTTTGCATCGAAGCTAAAAAGGTTATTTTACTTAATTTTAATTATGTCCTTAAAATGTAATAAGGGGATTAGGTATAGTCGGTCTTTTTTTTGACGTTATAGACCAAAAAGCCAGACAAAATGTCGACTACTTAGGATGGTTCGATATCAATTCTGTAAAGACATACGAGTTCTTTAAAAACTTTTCTGTTATGAAACAAACATTTATAATTTTTTGTTTTTTTATGTGAACAAATTCGGTGTAAACCTAATTGCAAAATTAATTTTTTTAATTACAAGAAACTGAAATTTTTAAACAAAAATCGTCTTTCAACATAATATAGTCGAGTAACCAAAGAACTCGAATCTCCTTACAAAATTGAAATAATTGGACTACCACCTTATACATTTGAAATTTTGTCTGGCTTTTTGGTCTAAAATAAACCAAAATAGCTTTAACTCATAGAAAAAATTATTAAAATTACAAATAATACCTTGAAGAAGCTTATACAAATAAATCGGTAAATTAATTGGCATGGTGGACATTTATTAAAACAGTTTTTTTCTTAAATATTGCCTACACAAAACTCCTTAGAAATAGACTAGGTACGATAAAGGAACAAAATTACTACGTTTATGTGAAGCGATCAAAGTGATTTCACTTTTTTTGTTAATCATTTAAGGAGAGGTTTGAGTAAGGTAAGGTCAGGAATTACATAGGACTATACCCGTGGACTTACGTTCATAGCACCAACCAATACTGTAAGCTATCCAGTCGTCCGTTTGGATGTCGCTACCAGCTGTCCCGTAGATTTCCCAGTACCAAAACCCGTAAAATCCTAGACCGTAGAATATCATCGCAATCCTGAAGATTAAAAATTTCCGGAAACCTTCGCCTAGTGCAACAACGTCGTCCAAGTGTGCACCGCAAAAGTCTGATCCCTAAATTATGGATACTATTAAGAAGTTTCGCGGTTCTCGTTGATCAGAAACCGTCAGGCACATATTCATTCCGCTTACTTTGTTCAAATACTCTTCCAACATGAAAAACCAACACGCCAGCAAGTCTACGATTTCGACGTAAAAATAAAATCCCACTTCGACCCAGTTGTAATAGTCGAAGCTGCCTGAAATAAAATTTGAGTATAAAAAAGATAAGGAATATTGATAGTTCTTAAAATTGTTAAAAACAAGAAAGACACGTCCACTGGTATAGTCTTCGATTCCGCGGGCCTTCATAAACAAGTCGGCAACGATAAGGAGCTGCAATTCAAAAACATAGGCTATATAAAATTAAAACAGTTTAGGTCTTAATTAATAATGACGACTGAACGGAAAAAAAATACATTTTAATCGACCGGTTCAAAAGTATTGACGCGGAAACCTTGTCATTATTTTTAAAAAATCATATTTTTTATTCGAAACAACTTGTTTGGAACTAACATTTGTTTTGTAATAACGTTTAGTTTTAGAAGACAACTTAATACTTTATCAAAAACCAATTTAGCTTAACTTAGTAAATAAATGTCAAACGCGTCTAAAGTAAAGACACTTTTTAGGTAAATTTGTTAATATGCAGACTTTTCTCTGTATCAAAACATTGTTGAGGTTTGACATTTTTCTTCGGAATGTTCCATAATTTTTTAGCCCTTTTTAACGTTATTTTTAACACTATTATTTTAACGTTGTCCTAACTTATGGTCATCTAAACTAAATTAAGAGCTAAATTACATTTTTAGTTTTGCGGTTTTAAATAAGATAGCCATTTACAAAAAAAAGTGTACAGTTCATTAGGACAACAAAAATGTAATTCTAAATTACATTAATTGCACTCTTTTTTTCTTAAATGATTTTAGCATGGAACCCCTCCAGCCCGAAAACGACACTAAATAGCTCGCCTACTTTAACAATAACATAGCAGATGCCATCGAAATAATAATGAGTCGTCGTTGTCATGCAAACGTTCTGACCAAACGTCAGAACATACAATTAAGACATTAGATATTATAGATCAGAAATAATCACTATTCACGCTAAATCATGATTCGTGTTTTATCATTTTAGCTATAAGGTTTTAAATAGACAGTAACTTGTTATAATAATTCGTATCGTGTCTAATTTTTTTTATATAAAAGTTTTACAGTCTAATTTAATTGAAACTGTTTTTCGAAATGTATGATTAGGTACTTGTTATTGCGCCAATCATTCTTTATATTAATAAAATAATATGTTTCCTACATTCAAACTTCGTTATTTGCTTTATACAAACGACAAAAAAAAAATTGGAATAAATAAAAACGACAAAAAGAAATAAATAAATCATGTTTATTATGCAAATAATAAGTAATTTTTTTTTTAAAACCACAAGAAATTTAATTTAACAACTGCCTTCATATAAAAAAATTTTTGGACTAAAATACTTTTTACAATTTATTTAAAAACACTTATAGTGAAATCTCTTTTAAAAAAGTTGTATACAACAGTTGTGTAAGTGTTTATTTTTAACAGTAGTCAATACAGTACTAATTGAACTATAGTTATTTTATAAATGTTTAAATACAAATGTTTGAAGTTTAAGAAATTTAATTGAATGAATGATTGTTCATTTCTTTAAGGGGATTGCATGTGGTCTGTTTTTAAGGAGTTTTGTATAGGCAATATTTAAGGAAGAAAGACGTTTTAATAAATTTCGAATGTTAATTAATTTACCGGTTAATTGGTATAAGCTTTGAGGTAATATTTTTTATTTAAATAACTAATAATTCAATTAATTAAATTTGCAATTTTTTTAATGTTAAAACCTAATTGTTTATTATGTTTACTATGATTTTATAAAAAAATTAAAAAGCTGTTCCCTTCCTTAGTAGTCAACAATTTGTCTGGCTTTTCCCATTAGGTCATAATTTAAAATTAAGATATATGTCTTAAATAAGATAAAAGTAAATGTTTCCATAAATCAATTATTATTTATTTATTTATTAATAATTAAAGTATTTATTTTTTATAGATTGTATATTTTCTCTACATATAATTATGACTCTATGTATAATGTACTTATGTTTTAGGTAATTCAAAAATTAATGAATAACATACAACACTTGCCACATGCGATGGCAGCGAAATTTTAATGCATTTTAGTAAAGTATAGATTTTTTTCACGTTTTTTCGATACATAATTTATTCAATAAGAACAAAACTATTGTTTAACAAAATTTTACTATAATTGCTTTTAGGTTTTATTACAAAAAATAATAGATTTATGAGAATTTGTAT